TTCTCGATACAACTTTGTAATACACAGAATTTCTGCAGTCACTTTAACTTAACTACTTTAATAAACATGCTATAATTCACACACTTTACTTACAGTGCCTACTGCTCGTTTGACTCAGTTATCTCAATCTTCAATCTATCTCCGGCTTATATACTAAAAAAGAGGGCATCTAGCAAATACTGGGATATTCATGAGATTCCTGATAAGTCACGATCCTTCTAGAAACTCCAGCGCGCATGCTCCAAGCATCGCGTAACTTCCGCTGTTGTAACAATACATATACTTAAGGTAAATTAATGTTGTTGTTTTTTATTTCAGCTGTTTTCCTTAATAAAGGCAGTATGCTTAGATGATACAACAGTAAAGTTTGAAGTTTTTTAAATGTGCGGAAGAATGATTCGAGTTTATTTTCTATAATTTCAGTTTAATTCAGTGGTGAAATTTTGTCCTCCCGGCAGGTTAAATGAAAACATAGCAAGTAACATGACATTAAATGCATATGAAAATGAATGAAATTTAAAAGGATATTACACTGGGAAACAAGCATATCATTTGTTATTATAGTATTTATGCATAAATACAAAAACTTCACTAAAAATATCATCATACTATTGGTCTTTACTTTTATATGTACAAATATAATTATTAGTCAAGTTGCATAGGCTTAGCTCTGAAGAAGTATATATAAGAATATATATAGTGTAAAAATGCTGTTACCTCAAAGATATCTAAAAGAGGAAAAAAATTCTAGTCTCCAATGGCAGGTCGAGGTGGAACACAACGACCAAATGGAGCTGCACAGGGAAAGATATGTCAGTTCAAGCTAGTTCTTTTAGGAGAGTCAGCTGTAGGGAAATCCAGCTTAGTTTTGAGATTTGTCAAGGGACAGTTTCATGAATATCAAGAAAGTACAATTGGAGGTAAGTATTTTTATTAGATTTTATGCAAATATTTTGTCGTGTTCTTTAAAAGCAAGTGAATTTTTTATTAATATTTATTTCCAATCAAAGCGAGCTAACCACTTAGGTCAAAATGAAATAATGAGCTGATAATGGGTGTGGCTAATTATATATACATTTCATGCATTCTTACTTATAAAGATAATTTATTGTTGTATCAATTGGGCATTCACAACATTAACAATACTATCAACCTTCAGCCTTCTCAGCTCATGAGATTTAGATCAGGTTTAAATTTATGTACTAATCTAACAGTGCATAACATCCCTATAATAAAAGTGCAGAAGTCAGAAATAGTGCAACTAGATACATTAAACATTCTAAGGAAAACTGTTAACGAAAGTTACATTAAAGAAATAACAGTTTATTATTGTATACACATGTTACAGATTTTTTTTTCACCAGAGGTGAAATTGAAAAAAAAAAAAGTCTGTGACGTAGTGGCCTGATGCATTCTTTGATTGGCTGTACCCTCTGCCGTAGACTGCAGTTTCGCCTATTCAAGGCTCTTCAGCACAGCTCGACTCAGCAATACCATTAGGTCTTAATTATTGTCTTTTGACACTTGTGTATAAAGTTAAAATCATAAATAATATTCAACGTTAAAGTTGGTACACAATTAAAAACATTTTTAATTGTGTACCAATTTTAACGTAGAATATTATTTATTAATTTAATCATTAACTCTCTTATAATGGTTAGGTGTATACAATATCTATGGGGTTTTGTGTCCGTTTTACTTCACCATATAGTAGCCTAAGTTAACTTAGGTATTACTCACATACTGGGTTACTATATGGTGAAATAAAATAAGATTCAAAGCAATATGAAGTTTATCATTGTTGTAATATATAGTAGTTAGTACTATTTAATGTTAAGTAAGAATACATGTTTCTATTTATATAGTTATGTATTAAATGATAAAATGTCTTTGGTTATCAAAAACTGCCTACATGAATTTTATATTATACACGTGTTTATGATATATGATTTTTGTTTTTTGCTAGATTGTTTTGTAGCTCTTTTATCTGTTCTACATTACTTCATGTAGGATTTAATTTCACTGATTACTAAGAGCTTGATAGAAATGATTAAAATGTACAATTTTCTCGATTTTGCAAAAACATTTTAGTTACGACCAGCCTTTTTTAAAAATTTTCTGACAGTGATTTTCAGCAAAATACATTTTCAAAAAATGTAGGTTTATAGGTTATGTAGGTTTTCCTTTTTTTATAGAAGCTTTCTGGAATGAACTATTAAGTATTTAATGTAAATGACTATGTGGTGTTTTTTTTTTATTTCAGCTGCTTTCCTTACACAAACAGTATGCTTAGATGACACAACAGTAAAGTTTGAAATTTGGGATACAGCGGGACAGGAACGTTATCATAGTCTGGCTCCCATGTACTACAGAGGAGCTCAAACAGCTATTGTGGTCTATGACATTACAAATCAGGTGTGAACAATAATTATTTATTTTACAGTAATGGCAGAAAGTGTCAAGATGCAATATTTTGACTGCATCCAGTATATCGAAACAAGTTTGTATGTGAAGCACTTTACAGCCTGTATTTGTTTTATTGACCGTAAATTTTCCACAGTAGTACGTGGGCACTATGACTGTGGGTGATGATCTAATCAAGTCCTGGTTATTAACTTGTTGTACTTTTTTTTAATTATCAAAGCAATCTTACCCTACATAACACTGGTTACTTTTGTTGTTTGTTATAAGTAAGCAATATGTTAAGTTAAAGCTATACCATAGTTCAATCAGACAAGGTAAACATAAACAACAGGTATCACTGTGGTTAGATGCGTGACCAATGGCTAGTAAGCCAAGCTAGGTCTGTCAGTAAAGAGGGCTTCATTAGAGGTGCCACCCCTGACTATTATTATGTATCTTAGTTCATTTATTATATTAATATTTCATATGGAGGGGGTTCATTCATCAATAATATTATGTATTTTCGATTACATTGGATTTTGATGTTTTTCATCTATTAATAAAAAATTTTTATATCCAAGGGGGCCTTTATTGGAAAAAAAAAGGAAGGGTGTGAATTCACCCGATTGTCTGACAGTCTCGGTACAAAGCATAAGTTTAAAACTGTGTAACACGTTATGTTATGAATAGTGTTATGATTTGCTAATTACCTTTAAGATACTGCTTTTTTGCTGTTTGTTTTTAATATGGTTCATCAAAATACCACTGATTTTAATACTGTGCTACTATTGTTTTTTTATTCCACGTTAAAAACATAACATTTATAATTGTAATGTATTAGGGTCAGCCAAATATAGAAATGTAATGTGCATAAGGATCATTATTAACTGTCTAGTTGATATATGAATGTGTTTTTTTTATAACTGACTTTATTTGTGTGTATACACACTCACATATACATATATAAGATTTGTAAGTCATTCACCAGGTGGAAAACAAAGTTTTATAATGATTATCAAAAGCACTGTAACACCAAGAAACATCTTTAATTACTTACAGATGTTTTGGGATTTGTTCAAATTATATCACCAGCATTAAAATATCAAGAAGTTAGTTCACAATATCATAACTACATTAGACATTAAGCAAGCAGTTTTATATGATCAGAAGTTTAGAAAGAACCTATTTGAATGGTAACATTATAATGGAGTATACAATAAAACGTGAAACATATATGTGTTTAATAACATTGTAAAGAGAAAACATTATAAAACAGGGCTTGAATATAAATATAAATACTGCATCTTTAAAATAATGATAATAATCAAATAAAAATGCTGAGACTCTGGAATTGATTAAATTAATGACAACAAGTAGGATTTGAAGTTATTATTTAGTTTTGGGTGATCATTCAAAATGGAAAATCTTTATTTAGTAGAGAGTTCATAATCCATTGTTCTGGAGTCAAGAGTTTTAAAGTATTCAAGAAATATGGGGTGGTTGTTATTCTTACGGGTAGATTAGTTAGCTTATATCTTCTTCTAGCTAAAATTCCCGTGTGCTCCTATTTTTAAGAGGCATGCAGTTTTTGCATACTTACGTAGGTAGCAAGCTACCACAAGTTTTCAAGTATACTTTTGAAGTCTCTCCTGTAAACAACACACTTAGCATAGAATTATATTTAACTATTATATTACAATATGTTATACATTAATCAGAATTTCAAACTTTTTGTCTTATGTTTGTCACAGGATACTTTTAGCAGAGCAAAGTCATGGGTGAAAGAACTCCAAAGACAAGCAAGTCCAAACATTGTGATTGCTTTAGCTGGAAACAAAGCAGACTTGGCAAACAAAAGAGCCGTCGAATGCGAGGTTAGTCATTTATCAGTTATTATATGATTACTTTGTGAAATAACTTGTTCAATTTAAAATATCAATTCTTCATATGTGTGTGGTCATACTATGAAAACGCTGAAAGTAAATTGAATTATGGTAAAAAGAAAGAAAACTTAGACAAAATTACAGCCAGAGTTTAGTTACCAATTTTGAAGTGATAGATTACACAGACTTGCAAATTTAAACTTCATAAAAGTTGTTTTGGTTTTAATAACAGATTTCCCATACTTCAGCTACACAGATTTCAAAAATAATATTAATTTTTTTTTCTATCACGTAAGGATTTTTTTTACAAATTGGGAAGAAGAAAAATAAATTCTTACTTAGGTCAAATTATTATTTCGTTTACCACAACGAACATTTGTTATTATTATGTGTGTTTCTCTTGAGTTCTAGAATGATCAATAAGTCTCTCACGTCGTGATTGGTTTAGAGAAATCTGTAGCCAGTGGTTGTCAACATTTTAAGAATAACAAAATGTGATCCGATTTCAATGAAAATGATTCACTTATGTAATAATAAATATGACGTTTTGTGAAAAATCTATAGGTGATGGAGAAAAATGGATATCATTTTTCGGATTCAGTGTACAGAAATTACAGTAGAACATGTAAAAATTTCAAGACAATAAAACCATCGCAGGTGTGTACTAGAAGAATTGAGATAGTCTTTCCATTTATGAGGTTTGACGTATAAAAATTTGACTTTATTTACGTAAAGATCCTAACCAGACAATTTGGAGGAATAGGTCGAACTCACTTGACCCTCCCAAGTCTTTAAGACCTAAAACCAGAGAAGGGAAATGCATAACCAGACAACAAGAAGAAGAATATCAGTAACATTGGGTCTCACATTTCATTGACTAAATATCGTTGTTCTTGATTATTTCATTAAAACATATTCATCCTTCGGTAAGGCTATTTTCAACAGGAAGAGTATTCTAATTTTGGGAAGAACATCCTCACAAAAGATAATTTACATTAGTTTTTAAAGCCACTTTGACAGCATCATTTAGGGGATTTATGTAAATGCTCTCAAGGAGTTGTATAAATTAATGAAAGTGGGTATTACACTGGAACTGTTTGCTAAGTACAGGACTTTGTAATAATGAACTAAAGAGAATACATTCAACTTTGACATACAAAATTAATTACCACAAGGTTCTAGATGTTTTGTGTTGTGAAATTCAGAGTATCTGACACGCATCTGCTTAAGCCTAATATACTTAGCTAAACTTGTAAGTAAAATTACTTTCTAGTCAGTTGGTTCTACCCAATAATGGTAATCCCTTTTTGATTTGGATCGGAAAAACTGTTAAGGTGTTAAGTGGTTAGTTTCGAAGAATGGGTATGTGTGGTTTTATTGTTATTGTACAATAATATGTTATAATAGGTTTAGTTTCTTCAGTTGGTTTATCTAGTGTTTGACATATTTCTGTAGTTTTACATTTGGATAAAAATATAAGTTTTATAATATACTTCAGGATGCTCAAGGCTACTCGGAAGAAAATGGTCTGCTTTTCATGGAAACATCAGCTAAAACAGCCATGAATGTTAATGATATTTTCTTGGCAATAGGTTTGTATTTTTTTGTTCTATGTAGTTGTTACTTTTGAGAGCTGAAAGTTTTTTTCTTAGGAATCCCCTGCAAGTTGTTTTCTAGATTTTATATCTCTTACTTTTAATTTGAAATGAACAAATTAAATAATTTACAAAAATATTAAGTTGAAGTTGTAAATAAACTGATTTTTCAAAAAGCTTCAAAAAGTTTTCAGTTTAAAAAAAATGTTTGGATTTCACAAAAAATTTATGTGTTTTACGGTGAATTGTCAATATCTGTATACCAGTATGGTTTCTGCTAATAAGAATAATATATATATATGTGTGTGCATGTTTGTGTGTCATAGAATTAAAACAATATTTAATTTAATTATTTGGTGTTTTTACACTTCTGATAGCTGCTAAAAAATGGCTTACTAGTAAACATTATTAGGTTTAACCCCTATTTCAGTTGGTAGAACACTTGCTTGTAGTGCTAATAGTTAAAGAAAAAATTAAATTATCCTACTATCATTCTTTTTCTTACATGACAAATTTGATATTTTATAATATGTTAACTTAAACACCAGAGAAACACTTATCTTTAAATCTGTGTTTGATGTTGAATTCTTATGTTCTAACTGAAGTTTTTGTGCAAGATTTTTTACTCTTAAATATACGTTTCGTGAACACCAGCTCAAAAATTTGGGTGAGGCTGAAAGGTTAAAAACTGGAATCTTGTTGCAGTAAAGGGTTACATAAATGTATTGTAACTCCCATTTATTGTATTTTTTTCCATATTAGTTTGGATGTGGGTGTCTTATCTCTAGCTATGAAAAACTTATTCCCCTTGTCACTCTGTTGAGAATACTTTCACACTCCTTATTTGGTAATGCTCAAGAATATAAGTCGTCACTTAGCAACAAAGCTATCACCTGATTGTTCTTAGGCCAGCTATGGTGTTTATGTTGAATGCTCAATATTCATGTTGATTTGTTAGAAAGGTTTGTTAAAACTTTATTACTACCAAATATCTTTTATCAGTTGTACACTTGAAAGAGTTGAGAATTTGTGTTGGTGTTTAAAAAGTCTTAAGTGGTGAATAAATGTTAATTAATAAATATTATTTTGGTATTTTAACACGTATATTATCTACTTGGCCTTAAAACATAAAGAAAAATAAACATTTGTTAGGACCAAATACCTTTTATCCTATGTACAGTCTAAAGAGTTGAAAATTTTTGTTGGAATGTCCACACTATATTTTCTGCTTTCTGACCTAGAATACAGTGAAAAGGCTCAAGAGTGCTAGTTAAGTTTCTTTCAGAGTTCACACTACTTTTTTTATGATAACATTTCATTTTTCTGTGTAGTTTTTACTAAAAATATGAGGATTAAAGAATTACTTCAAGAATGATGAAATAAGTGAAGAGTAGGTGCATTTTGGGGGTACAGACAAAAGTTAAATTGTATAATGCTCGTTAATCATTCAACAATGGTTTCCCATCATTTTTGACAGGCTTTTATGCTAGTATAGCTTATAAAACTGACACAGTACTTGTTATTTGTTGATTAATAATTCTTTCAAAATATTAATCATGATGTAAGGTTACAAATTCATACTCTCTCTGTAAGAATTCTTGCTTCTATACCAATTCAAATCAGACAGTACCTCTTTCTCCTGATCATCAAGCATAGGTTCTGTGACCTTCTGTAAGTACAATATTCTATCAACACTTTCATTGGAGAGAGAGAGAGTTTCCCATGTATACAAGATCCAGAATGTTTGCAGCCATGTGAATCAAGTAAAATGCAAATTTCGTATAATTCTTGTGGTCATTGCGGATTTGCTACCATTCAAGTACTTCTCAACATCATTGAAAATATGCAGAACAAAACCAATTTTTGAGATATCTGATTCACAAGTACTTCTCAACATCATTGAAAATATGCGGAACAAAACCAATTTTTGAGATATCTGATTCGGTAATTGTGATCCATTTAGTGAAATGGTCCAAAAACCTGATCAATTTTTTGTTTCACACCCAAACTTGGGTCTTGATTACTCTTTGTGGTGAGCATGACTTCCCCTGATATTGCTAGAGCCTGTCAAACAAACTAATTTGACTGTAAAACAAAACACTGCGGAACCCAAACATGTTTCTGTACTTACTTTTAGAGAGATATTTTATCTTTTCTTTGTCTTCTGGATGTCACTAAACAGTGCGTACAGAAAGTGGACTCGCTTTACAATATCTTTGCATTGCAACTTGATTACTAAGTCTACCTTCATCTTTATAATATTAATTGCAATATAAATTCATGAGTGGTATGGGATGGTTACGGTATTTCCTTTGAAGTAATTGTCACATTGTTGGCATTGTCTCTTACAACACATTAGCTCATCAGCACATAATCTAGGAATTTGAGATAGAGTGGGGCGTTTTGGAAGTACGCCAAGCTCCCTTTAGGTCAACAGACCATGTTATTTGTGTTTTGGTTTCTCTGTTCACGCATTTGACTGTAGATATAATTTCCTCATTGATTAACAGTTGTAAGTAGAATTGTAAATACTCTTCATGTAGAAGGAATGTCTGAAAGTCTATTATAAAAGTGATGATTTGAAACAGCATATAAAAATAGATATTTATGAAAAATCATTATAAATATATAATTTTTTATTTTATTTGTCCTTTAGCAAAAAAACTTCCTAAGAATGACCAGTCAACTGGGGGTGGAGCCAGTGGTCAAGGACGACGCGGTGTGGACTTAAGTGAAAATCAGAAGCCCGTTTCTACTTGTTGCAAATGAGTATTCAGTGTAATTTTGTCGATTTGGGAATTGTCTGGACATTTTTTTTTCTTCACAGCACTTAGTGCTAATGTACAACAGCTGCATGTGTACCATGTAATGTATATATATATATAAAGAAATATCCATTCTTTTCACTTGATGATGTATAGTTCTTATATAGAACAATTGAATAAGACCATTTGAATGTATTTTAGATGGGTAAAAACCACATGAATTATGTATGCTGTAAAACTACTTAGCAAATCTTTATGAAGTACTTGTTTCATTAACTTTTTTTTTATAATAGGTCATTTATCAATGTTTTGAAGTAAGAGAATATGGAGTAATTAAATTCATTGTTCAATTTAGTGCGAGTTTCACATCTTTCACTACGAATATTTGTTAGATTAAGTTTTCCAACTCGTTTATAAACTAAGGACATTTCCAATTAAAGGTTTTCATTACTTAAGGAAAATTTTTTTAATGATATTGAACATAAAATTTAAAAATATTTTAAGATAACCATTTCCATAGTTTCTTTTGGTTAGTGTCAGCTTTTTTTTTTTTTTTTGTAATTCTGGAGTAACTTTCAATCTAAAATTCTTTGATGGCTGTCTTATAGAGACATCTAAGAATAAAGTATAAGGCTTTTGGATGAATCACTCATCAATGACGTTTTAACCATTTCAAAGCTCACTGTAGTTGCCATTCAAAGTTAAATATCGTGTGGCAAAAGCTTTTGTCTGTATTATGTTAATGTAAGATGTTTCAAGCTGTACATAAAAGTTTCATATATTGAATCAGTGAATAAAGAAATCCATTGTATTTGTTTGTATGAATATATTCAGTAGTAGTTGTCAAATTTTAATAAGTAACAAGAAATCGGCGTTTCTCTCATATTTTAAACGTTTTAATTCAAAAAAAGGATTTTGTTGATGTACTGGTGATGAAGTATTTCATATTCTGTGTACTCAGACCTAAGTTTTTTTTTCTATAGTAATATTCGTTATCTATATTAATAAGATTCTGTGTTTATCTGTGTGTCACGTGACTTCTAAACCGCTGGTCGCACCGACTTCTAAGTGGTACCAAACGAATCGTCTCAGGTCTGGAGGTTTGCACAAGAGTCAAAATTTTCACCCCACCCCTTGGGGAAACCCGGGTATTTCACTCAAACCCCTTCTTCTAAACTGCTGGAATCATTGACTTCTAATCGGTGCTAAACAAATAGTCTCGGTCCTTACGTTTGTACAAAGGTAAAAACTATTCACCCAACCTCTTAAAGAACCCGGGTATTTCGCGAGGACTCTTTTTACCATATCAACGTATTACAATAACGCCTTTACAAGAAATAATTAAAGCCTAATTCAGTACTGAGTTAGAAAACAGCTACAATGTTTCAGATATTAAAAAAAAAGTACATTAGTTAGCCAGACAATCACACAACAGTTATGGCTGTTGCATAGTAAAGACATATTATACAGTATAGGTAGGTTTGTTTGTTTAAAGTTAAGCACAAAGCTGCGCAATGGGCTATCTGTGCTCTGCCCACCCCGGGTATCGAAACACAATTTTTAGCGTTGTAAGTCCGCAGACATACCACTGTGGAGCGTATAGGTAGGGAAAAATAAATTACTAACAAAATAGCTAAATAAAAGGTAGTAACTGCCAACAAAATTTTTAATTGGGCTTATTTACCGAAAAATAAAAAAAGCAATGTAGAATTTACAAAAATCTCGTGGTCTTTAAGTGTTGTAACAGCACATAATCAAACTATATAATAATAATACTATCAAACCATTGAGACCTATGGCACACACGCCAACAGTGCCATTATAATGCTAATTTAATTTCTTTAACCAAGTTACGAATGCTAATTAGCAGGCCTACTTATTTACGTGCTCTAATGTAAATCCCCTTTTATTTTAATTGCCTCGTTAAACTTGATTTCCTTCAGCAGCTATAATTAAACCAAGTTCTCACTTAATCCTGTTTAAATGTCGTGTAAGTACTCAGTATTATTGAAAACATTTCAAACACGATATGTGTTGTTAGCCCCATACTTCGTTTTTCAATCTCATCTTTTGGCTCATTTAATTCAACATTTCAGTTTTATTCCTGTAAGTTTTCTTATTATGCTTCATTTATAATACTAAGCTCGGATTTTTTTGGTGTTGTAAGTAAATGAATACGTCCACCTTAATGATTTAACGAGTCTGGCCAGGTATCTTGACTCGCAATCTGAGGGTCGCGGGTTCGAATCCCCGTCCCACCAAACATGCTCGCCCATTCAGCAGTTGGGGCTTTATAATATGACGGTCAATCCCACTATTCGTTCACTGCTAAATTAGGGACGGCTATTGCAGATAGCCCTCGTGTAGCTCTGCGCGAAATTCAAAACAAATTTTAACCGGTGTCATTGAACTTCTTTACTCGCTAATAGTAGGTAAATATACAATACCGTGTAAATTAAGCGAAACTTGATTTTGTTCTTTTTAGTCGCCTCTAAAGTCAAGGCAAATAACTGGTTACTTTTCACAATTGTAGGGATGTACTTGGAGGTTTCTAAAAATGATAGAGTAGTTATTAGCGTGTTACACTTTCTGTCTGTGAAGTTAATTGTTATAATTCTGACTCGATTGAG